ATCCAAACTTTAGACTTATGCTTTGAGTTGAGAGAGTGTTANACATTGACTTTAAAGAAGCACAGGGATTGGGAAATATATGACAAAAAGGAAGAAAATGAAGTGATTATATGATGCAAGAAAAGAATCTTTTTCTGTTTTTTCCCAGGATAGGTTCACACTTTCTCCAGCATATACCACAGTGCCTTTAGATCAAAGAAAAGTTTCTGCTTTCTAATTTTTCCCTACTATATCGGGTTGCTCTAGTTTATGAAATCGGCTTTATATATAAAGTAGAGTTCTATCATGGTTAGTCAGAGGCGGACTCAAAATTTAAAGGTTGCGGGAGTACATGAGCAAGCTGCTCAATCAGTGCCCTTATTGACCTTTGATCTTAAGAGTTCCAAGCAAAATATATGACTATTTTTAACTTATATATATGTGTAGAATTTTTGCCGAGGTTAACGGGGACCGGTGACCCCTCTATTCTATACATAGGTCCGCCTCTGTAGCTTGTGCAGTTGACTTCAATGCGTAATTAATTTGATTGATACTTCCAAAATAATGACCTTTTGATAATTGCTGTGCAATTAGATACTTTTTAAAGTTATATATTAAATTGTTAAGTGTTACTGTGTGAACAATAAATCTCAATAATATCGAGATAATCAAATTTTTATGTTCTCTTTTAGCTCTTAAATTGTATCAATCCTTTCTTGGTTACTATTATCAACATGTGTTCGAAAATAATTTCTGCAAAAAATAAAACAAACAGAAGCAAAAACAACATAAATAAAAGTTCTGAGCCCAACAGAATATTGTGTTTCCTTAAGAAATTTAATCTCATCATTGTTACCAAGGTTATTGGATTAATCTCTCCTAGAATAGAATGGGACAACTATTCTGTAATACCGGCAATGAAAATTACAGAACTTCGTCGAACTCAACAAATAACAGTAAACAATTTATGCTTACTTTTTGCTTTGAAAAAACAGTGCAGTAATGTAGAAGAAAGAAGGGAGAGTATGCATATTTTCGGTGCTGAAAAATAAGGCAAAATCTATGAGTTTATAGCCAAATTGTCTAGGTTGAATAGGTGCGAAGGTATCTGTCCATATGAGGTACCATTTCGGTAGAAGTCAGGTCGCGAATTTTAAACTCAAAACTTCCGTTAGACTGTTAGGAAATTAATCACGAAAAAATATTAGGAAAAAGAAAACAAATAACGGAAAACGAGAAATAAATTTGGTCCAAAAAATTATTAAATTTGACACCGAAGCCGAGTGATGACGACGGCGCGAGGCACCACTTCTTCTCAACTCTTTAAAAGCTAGAAGGAGTGCTTCTCTATATAAGCACAAAGATTTTCTTTTCATTTTTCAATGAGGGACAAAGTGCATTAGTAAAGGAAAACACTTCAAACTTTTCGTTTCCCTCCCTTTCTCATTCACACTTCTTGTCTAATTAGATAAAAATAACCCAACAGTCCCCACATGAATGGGGAATGACTATTTGAAAATATGCATGCATGAAAAACTGTGTGATTTATAAGAAAGGATTAATCGCATCTGGATAAATAGGTTTTCCTTTAAACTTTCCATAGTGAACTTATGTTTGATATACTCGATCAATTGGTAGATTTGGTATCTTTGAACCATCGAACTTTAGTGTATACCTAGACAACCATAAGTCATACAATCAACCCTTTAACCGCCTTTGGTTCTCATTGTTGTGTTCGTTTCAGCCATTAACACTGCCTGGTTCATAAATGCGTAGAGAACTGGCCTTACAAAATTTGCATTGAAGCGGCTTACACTTCATACTTATATAGGCGATTCCTAAACGTGTTATCCCATAAATATACTATTTGACATACTCTATATCATACTTAGAAACCATTAAAAAGCCTTAACGCTTTATCTTTGGTACTAAACATTGTCTTATCACGAGAATAGACCAAAATTTTATTTGACAATATTGAAAATGACTTTGTTTGATCTCCTTGAACCTAGATGTTGGGATCCTCAGTCTTCTAGGTAGAGTTACCGTCATAGTGACTTGTCCTCGGCTATAGTCTCATTCCCTTTGATGATTTATCAACCAACTCTCTATTTAGGCCTTTTGCAAGTGGATCCGACATATTATCTTTTGACTTTACATAGTCAATTGCGATAATTTCACTAGAGAGTAGTTGTCTAACAGTATTATGTCTTCATCGTATGTGACGAGATTTTCCGTTATACATAACACTTCTAGCCCTTCCTATTGCCGATTGACTATCGCAATATATGCATATAGGAGGCACTAGTTAGGGCCAAAATGGAATATCTTCCAAGAAATTCTGGAACCATTTAGCTTCTTCTCCAGCCTTATCTAAAGCTATAAACTCATACTCCATTGTAGAGCGAGCAATGTCTGTGTGTTTGGATGATTTTCAAGAAACTGCTTCTCCACAAATGGTAAAAATATATCCACTGTGGACTTTGTTTCTGATGATCCAGTTATCCAATTTGCATCACTATATCTTTCAATTACCATATGATACTTACTGTAATGCAAAGCATAATCTTGGATATGCCTTAGATACCCCAAAACTCGTTTCATTGCCATCCAATGAGTTTGGTCGGGATTACTTGTGTAAACGACTCAATTTATTTACTGCACAAGCTATATCAGGACGTACAATTCATGGTGTACATGAAACTTCCCAACATGCGAGCATAATTTAGTTGAGATCTGCTTTGCCCTAGATTCTTTGTTAGAGCCACATTTACATCAATCGGCGTCTTTGCGATTTTGAAATCTAAATACTTGAAATTTTCTAGTACCATTTTAACGTAATGAGATTGAGACAATGCCAGTTATTTGAGGAGTCCTATGAATTTTAATTCCTAGAATTAAATCAGCAACTCCTAAGTCTACGCTTAGTAGCATTTAACTCCGCAATATCTTTGCTCATTATTAACATATAATCATAGAATGACTATATGATTTGGAGTTTTTTAATGTAAAAATATTTATCATACTGATTAATCTTAAATTTATTTGCCAATATTGTTTGGACAAATTTCGCATGCCATTGTTTGGGTGCTTGTTTTAATTTGTAAAGTGATTTAATAAATCGGTACACCTTCTTTTCTTTTCTGGGAATCACGAACCCTTTAGGTTGTTCCATATAAATTTTTTCCTCCAAATCTCCATTTAAGAAGGTTGTCTTCATATCCATCTAATAGATTTCAAGACTATACACGGCGGCTAACGCTGTTAACACCCGAATAGATGCAATCCTTGTTATGGTGAGTGTGTATCAAAATAATCAAGATCTTCTTGTTGTCTAAACCCTTTGACAACTAATCTTGCCTTATATTTGTCAATAATACCATCAACTTTCATTTTCTTTTGAAAATCCATTTAGAACCCAAAGGCTTATTTCCTGGAGGAAGATCAACCAATTCCCAAGTATGATGACTTAATATAGATTCTATCTCACTATTGACCGCCTCTTTCCAATATTATGCTTCCGAGAAAGACATTACTTCTTTGAACGTTTGAGGCTCATTTTCCAACAAAAATATCAGAAAGTCTGGTCCAAAGGAAGTAGTTGTCCTTTGACGTTTACTACATCTTAGATTTTCCTCATTAAACGTACTTTCCTTTGATTCTTCTCGAGGTCGCTTAGATTTTTCACTAAACGACTCACATTTATTTTTATACCGATAAATATTTTCAAATAATTCAGCAATTATCGGATTTGACTACCGTATTAATATGAATGTTGGAATTTTTTGATTTATGAACCAGAAAACGATATGCCTTACTATTTCTTGCATATCCTATGAAGACACAATCAATCATTTTCGGTCCAATCTTTACCCTTTTGGGTTTAGAAATTTGCACTTAGCCAAACACCCACACACTTTAAAATATTTTAAGTTGGGTTTCCTACCTTTCTATTTTTCATACGGAATTGATTGCGTTTTGCTATGGGAAACTCGATTGAGTATTTGATTAGCTGTAAGAATAGCTTCCCCTCACAAGTTCTGGGGTAAATCCGAACTTATCAACAAGGCATTCATCATCTCCTTTAACGTTATATTCTTTTTTTCCGTAATTCCATTAGATTGCGGTAAGTAAGGGGTAATTGTTTGGTGAATAATTTCATATTTCAAACATATTTCTTTAAAAGGAGATTCATATTCGCCATCTCTATCACTTCTTATCATTTGATCTTTTTATTTAGTTGCGTTTCAACTTCATTTTTGTATTGCTTGAATACATCAATTGCTTCATTTTTACTATTAAGTAAGTAAATATAGCAATATCTACTACTGTCGTCAATAAAAGTTATGAAATATTTTTTTCCACCGTGAGATGGTATTGACTTCATGTCGCAAATATCTGTGTGAATTAAGTCTAAAGGATTTGAATTCTTTTCAACCGACTTATAATGATGTTTAACATACTTAGTTCCACACATATTTGACATTTTAAATTATCACATTTAAATTTAGGTAATACTTCCAAGTTAACTATTTTTTTTATAGTTCTGAAGTTGATGACCTAAATTGCATGCCATAAATTATTTGACTCAAGTAAGTAAGCAGAAGCTTGAACTTTATTGATATCAAAAACTATTACATTCAACTTGAAAAGGCCCTCAGATAGGTAACATTTTCTACATACACATCATTCTTACTTATTACAACTTTTTCAAAAACAAACACACACTTAAACCCATTCTTGATAAGAAGTCCAATAGAGATCAAATTCTTGCGAATTTCAGGAACATGGAGAACATTGTTTAGAGTCATAACTTTACCCGAAGTCATCTTAAAATTTATCTTCCCAACTCCTTCAATTTTTGCTGTTGTGAAGTTTCCCATAAAGATAGTCTCGTCGGGCCCTGCGGGAACATAAGAGGCAAATAACTCTTTGTTAGCACAAACATGCCGAATGGATCCAGAATTAATCCACCACTCCTTGGGATTTCCTACCGAGCTGCATTCAGATAGCATGGCATATTAGTCCTCCATTTCATCATTCTTTTCAACCATGTTTGTTTGACTCTTCTTCTTGTCCTTCTTCGGTGCACGACAATCCACAACCTTATGTCTAACTTTTTCACAGTTGTAGCAATTACCTTTGAACTTCTTCTTGCTCGGGTAATTCTTTAGACCAGACGACTTCTTTCTCTTTCTGTTGCTTGTAGACGCTTCCTCAACAATATTTGCTCCCATTATTATTGAGTTACCATGTGACTTCTTCTTAGTGGCCTTGTTGTCCTCTTCAATCCATAGACGAACAATAAGGTCTTCAAGCGTCATCTCCTTGTGCTTATGTTTCAAGTAATTCTTAAAGTCCTTCCACAACGGAGGTAGCTTTTCAATAAATGCCGCAACTTGAAACGCTTCATTTATGACCATACCTTCAATCATAAATTTATAATTAGTAAATAATCAATATCTTGAATAAAAATATTAACTCGATTTATACCTTCAGCAAGGAGGTCATGAACAATCACTTGCAATTCTTGGACTTGCGTTATGACAGATTTATCGTCAACCATTTTGAAATTCAGAAATTTGGTGGCCACAAACTTCTTAAGTCTAGCATCTTCAGTCTTGTACTTCTTTTCAAGAGCATTCCACAACTCTCTTGATATTTTCATGACGCTATAAACATTGTACAAGCCGTCTTCCAAGCAACTTAAAATATAATTTTTGCATAAGAAGTCAGAGTGCTTCCATGCCTCTATGACTACAAATCGCTCATTTTCAGGAGTTTCTTTTCCCAGAATTGGAACGTCCTTGCCGATAAAGCGCTACAAACTGAGTATGGTCAGGTAGAAGAATATTTTTTACTGCCAACACTTAAAGTCCACACCAAAAAACTTTTCGAACTTTTTTGCCGGTGCCATTGGTGATGCAGGCGGTGTGCAACTTGAAGACATAGTAGCCATTGTAGCAATAGTAGTCTCAATAGAACCATTCTTTGTTCCGTACTTGTTGTCATTTTTCTGTAAAAGAAATTGACACAACCAGAATTAGTAAGTCGATGAAGTGTTTATATCTTCAAACCGAATACAAACAATTGAGTAGAAAATCACAAGGATTTTAATCTCGAATTGAGTAGAAAGACACAAAGACTTTAATCTCAAACTGGGGTAGAAAATTCGAAGATTTTAATCTCCTAAAGCAGAAGTAAGATGAACACAGAATTTAAAAAATTACATTCCTTAAGCTTGTTATCAACCTGTGTTCGAAAATAATTTCTTCAAAAAATAAAACAAACAGAAGATGAAACATAATAGAAACAAAATAAATAAAGTTTCGAGCCCAACAGAAAACGGTGTTTCCTTAAGGAATTTAATCCCTCACTATTGCCCAAGATTATTGGATTAATCTCTCTCGGGATAGAACGGGACAACTATTATGTAATATCGGCAATGAAAATTACAGAACTTCGTTGAACTCAACAAACGGCAATAAACCACACTTATGCTTACCTTTTGCTTTGGAAAACAATACAGTAATGTTGAAGAAGGATGGGAGAGTAAGCAGATTTTCGATGCTGAAAAATGAGGCAAAACCTCTGAAATTATAGCCATATAGTCTGGGTTGAATAGGTGCGAAGGTACTTGTTCATATGAGATACCATTTCGGCAGAAGTCATCCGAAGCCGAAGCCGAGCGAGCGACGACGGCACGAGGCACCACTTCTTCTCAACTCTTTAAAAGCTAAAAGATGTATTTTTTTAATATAAGTACAAATATTTTCTTTCCGTTTTTCGTTAAGAGACAAAGTGCATTAGTAAAGGAAAATACTTCAAACTTTTCGTTTCCCTTTAAATCTTTTCCCTTCATTTTCCATTCACACATCTTATCTAATTAGATTAAAAACCAACAGTTATTACCTATTTTATTTTCTATTTTACAAAATAATGTAATGTATTTTAAGCTTTTGTTTTCGGTGCTGAAAAGGAAATGTTATATTATATAACTTCAATAGACTTACGTACAATAACGCTGACATGTATGTAGAGCAATCAATATCATGATAACACCATTATTAGATCTTTAAGCCAATAATTAAAAGCCATATCACCAATAACAAAGTTTTATATGATACTCTTTTCAATGTAGAACTAAGTATGTCTGAAATCATTTTATTTTTATATAATTTTAAAATAGGAAAATTTCACATAAGAATAACTGAGCTCCCTGTTTTTTAATTTTATAGCTCATATTTTAATTTATAACCAACTAGCCCAAAATAATAGGCTAAGATTCAATATCCAATTTCAATAGGTTCTAGAAATTATTAATTAATTTTTAAAAAAGATTGCTCAAGCTTTTAAGTTAATTTTCGAATCAGTAACTGTGACTCAAATATTAGTTCAACAAACCAAATTCATTTGGATGGTGAAAATTAAATTTTTAACAAACTTAAACATGTGGGTTTAAATTTCGAATTTGATTTTGTGAGAAATTTGGAGTGGTGTTATTTAGTCTTGTTAGAAATAGTATAAGGAGGTTGTATATAAAATTTGAAGTCATTTAATGGAGATTTGGACTGGTTTTGTACAAGAATTGCAACTGAAAATCGTGGAAGAAGTTCGTCTACATGCGCTTGTATAAAGATGTATAAAAGTGTATAATAGTGTATAAGATGTATTATATACTCATATACACTATTATACAAGATTATACATAATTATATAAAAAATTGACTTCGTCTTCTTCCTTGCGTCTTTTCTAAAATTTAACTCAAATCTTGCTCAAATCTATTCCAAATCACTTCAAATTTAAATTTTGAACTCTTTTTTATATTTTCAATCAATTGGAAAAACACCAAATCCAAACAACTAACAAACTTCTTATTTTCGAAAGTAAAGTTTCGAGAGTGAAAACAATGGTTGTGAGAACACATATTTAAGTCCATACCTTTTAGAAGCAATGGTTATAAGAACACAAGTTTTAAATTTGCTAGTGCTTTAAAAATATGTACAATATAAGCTAGGTTGGGTAAACTTAAAAACATGAGCCATTTTTTGTTATGGTGTGAAGTCATGTGTATTTTCTTGTAATTCTTTCTTTTAAAAAATATTTATTAAGCTATTCATATTTTAACTTCAATATGCATGATGTTTGCTCTATTTCAACTACAACTTTTATATTCTTTGCCATCATCGCCAATACGAAATAAATAATGTACTAACATCTTAAATTTTATTGAACACCATCATATATAACATAAAATGAATAACTAATTATACTTACGCCGTCCAACACCGTTATTCAATTTTAAAATTGTTCAACATGTATATGCTTTGGGATCATCTTTAGGATGACCAAATTCAAATAGAATCTAACAAAGCACTGGTGTGTAAGTCAAAATATTGTAACGCCAATGATGGAGGGCGGGCCGATCAAGTAGGAGTGACAGACATCTAGGTTATGTTAGCCCGTTTTTAAAGGAGTACACATGTCACCTTAGGTGAATTCCACATCGGAATACGAGATGAAAATACAATACAAAATTTACGTGGTAAGCTCGCTTTTAAGGCTCGATGTAATATAACCTGAAAGAAATATCTGTGCGAGCCTACGCCCAAACGAACAATACAATGTATGGACTTGAGTCGTGGCAAATACTCCATTAATTATTGATATTGCATGTGTTATTTTTGTGAAGTCAGCATTATCCATGCAGCAGCTTCCCGAAGTGGAATGACATACTCTTTACTATACATAAAGGAAAAAATTAAAATAAAGGACAAATTTAGTAATCACACCTCAGTCCTCTTATGTGTAAGCAAACACCAAATTTAATATTCTAATTTAGTTCAAGTCAAGTGAGCTGAACCTTGTCTCGAGCAACAATATTTTTTCTCATAAAAACTTACTCGTATGATAGTTATATTAAATTATATTAGTTTATTACTAGGGGTGTTCAAACCGAACCGGAAAATCGCACCAAACCGAAAAATCAAACAAAACCGATTAAAAAAATCCGACTAGGTTTGGTTTGACTTAATTTGGTATGGAGTAAAAAAATCCGAACCAACCTGACATATAAATATTTAATTTATATATATTTAAGACTTTATATTGAATTTTCTTTAAAAACAATATAGTAATATTTGGGATCCTATCATATGTTAACCTTGAAAGTGTATATTAACGAAAAATTATTGTTAGACGATTAAGAAAATAATTATCATGTGTTACTAAAAAAATTCTCTCATTATAATATTTTAATAGATCATATGTTTGTCAATTTATCAATATTTACTAAACATATATCCACTTATCAAAGCTATATCTATAACTTTAACAAAGTAGATTAGAATAATATTCATGTAACCAAAAAAATCCGAAAACCCGAAAAATTCGACAGAACCGAATCAATCCAAACTGATATAATTAGTTTGGTTTGATTTTGATAAAAATCGAACTAACCCGGTCGATTACACCCTTATTTATTATGATGTAATAATGTCATATGAGAATGTGCATCGATTAACTCTGGTTTAAATGAACATTTTATGTGATGACATGTTATTTTCACTGAATTAATTGATATAAACATTGAGTATGAATATTTTTCTTTTCTATTTTATCTCTTGAGATAAGTGAAAATGTTTATTTCTTTCTCCTTCTTTTAGGCAAAAATGAAAGCTTACAAGCAACAACACCAAAAAAAATTACCAAAAATGGAAAATGGTGAACGGTGAATGGTGATTGGCTTCATTTTGATAAGGTTAGGCCTGCAGTTTTCCAAAAAAAAAATAGTTGGTAAAAAGTTTTAGGCTAATCCAATCCTTTTTTCCATTTCTTTTTCTGTAATAATAGAATAAAGGGTGAAAATTCATATACCTAATATTTTCTTAGAAAAAATGTTAAAACTATACGGAATAAAATGACTCTGAATTTAAAAAGAAAATACTTGAGGGATGTAGCCTTTTCTTATAAGCATAGGGCAAGCAAAAAAAGAAAAAAAAATCATTAAATAGAAACGTGTGACATGAAAATTAGTAGGTAATAATTGAATGTTCACAAAGATACAATGATTTTGGACAAGCCAAATTATTTACTTTTGCTTTAAAGAGTTTACCAGAATATGCTTTAAAGTGATTTTCATTGAGCTAGACACTATAAATAAAGAGATTCCAACATTTATTTCCATCTTTTTTGCTTTTAAACAACAACAACAACAACCCGGTAAAATCTCACTAGTAGAGTCTGAAGAGGGTAGTGTAAACGCAGACCTTACCCCTACCCCGACGGGTAAAGAGGTTGTTTCCGATAGACCCTGGCTGAATAAGATGAAAAGATGCAATATATCAGTACCATCAGTAAACCTTAGAAAGAAATAACAACATCACAAAAACATAGACGAAAAGCAAAACAATAACCAATAGATAAAGCCCGACACTAAGAGGAACGAAAGAGTAATGTGAACTCAACATTAACCACTAGCAGTCTAAGACAAAATCCTAACAGACTAGCCTCATTCTGGCGCGCCGTAGGAATATGCATAACTACCTCCTAATCTGCGACCCTAATGCTTGATCCCCACAACTTCCTATCTAGGGCTATGTCCTCGGTAATCTAAAGCCTTGCCATACTTCTTAAGCCCCAATATGTCCTCGATGATCACGCAGGTGTCCTGCGTGATCACCTCTTCCCAATACTTCTTAAGCCGCCCTCTACCTCTCTTCGTGCCCACCAAAGCCAGCCGCTCTCACCTCCTTACCAGGGCTTCTCCTCTAAACGTGTTCGAACCATCTGAGCCTAGCTTCCCGCAGCTTGTCATCCATGGAGGTCATGCCCACCTTCTCCCGGATATCTTCATTCCTAATCTTATCCATCTTAGTATGCCCGCACAACCACCTCAACATCCTCATTTCTGCTACTTTCATCTTCTGGATATGTGAGTTCTTAACTGGCCAACACTCAGCGCCATACAACATAGTCGGTCTAACTACTGCTCTATAAAATTTACCTTTGAGTATCGGTGACACTTTCTTGCAACACATGACTCTAGATGCTAACCTCCACTTCATCCACCCCACCCCTATACGGTGAGTGATATCCTCGTCGATTTCCCCTTCCCCTGAATAACCGACCCAAGGTACTTGAAGCTGCCCCTCGTAGGGATGACCTGTGATCCAAGCCTAACGTCCAATCCCGCTACCGTCGGCTCGACGCTGAACTTGCACTCTAGGTATTTCTTCTTAGTCCTGCTCAACTTGAAACCCTTAGACTCAAGGGCCTATCTCCAAGCCTCCAGCCGCTCGCTGATGTCGTCTCGCGTCTCATCAATCAGAACAATGTCGTCAGCAAATAACATACACCATGGAACCTTCCCTTGAATATAGTGTGTCAGAGCATCCATCACAGGGTAAATAGGAATGGGCGGAGTGCAGATCCTTGGTGTAGCCCCATAACAATCGAAAAATGCTCCGAGTCGCCTCCCGCATCCTAACCCGAGTCTTAGCTCCATCATATATGTCCTTATCACCCTAATGTAAGCAACTGACATAACTTTTGCCTCCAAGCATCTCCATAGAACCTCTCTAGGAAGCTTATACGATTTCTCCAGATCAATAAATACCATGTGAAGATCTTTCTTCCCATCCCCGTATTGCTCCACCGACCTCCTAATATGGTGGATAGCTTCCGCAGTAGAACTTAAGAATTTTATTAATATTAAAATTAGACATTTCCACTAAAACTTAAGAATTTTATTTACATATACTTTATTTAGGTATTTATTCCGTTACTAATACCTGTGATTGAATTAACTAATATTCTTTTAAAAATATTTACTTCTGATCTATTATCAAGTGAATTTTCATTTTAATAACCTCTTGGCTCTTGCCATACAAATAACCTAATTGAGTAAATATAAATGAAATAAAAATGAAGAAAAGATTTTTTTAAAAAAGGAGCAAATTCAAAGAAAGGCCGCTATAAAGCAACGGTATCTTTCATTCTACTCAAAGGCCAAACACATCCCCTCTATAAAGCTTTTCGTACACATACTCATAATTCCAAAATTTCTGAATTAAAACTTGTTAGACTTTTAACTTGCCTTTTTTCTTACTATATAAAACTATATAGTATTCTATATACCAAAATATTCTTTCCTCCTTCTTCCTTTTTCTCCCCCATAATAATAATAATTATCATCTATTTCAGCGCCCATTTTGGCCATTTTTCTTCTGCAACTTCTTATTACATACTAATACTATACAACACAGAGATATTTGTACATATAGAATATTATTCGTATAGCATATGAGCAGAGTTGAAGTGGAATTGAATTAAAGGTCAGTTGTTGATTTTTTTTTTCCGATTAATTTGTGACTATTTTAAATTGATTCTTCTTTTTCATTTTTGGTTTTGTTTTGTTTTCCAAGTTAATGGATTTTTTTTTTGGAATTGGTTTATGGTAAAGTTTGGAATTACTTGTGCAATAGGCAAAACGCGTTGATGGAATAATGGTTTACTGTATTTTTGTATTTATCTCTGTTTGCAGTTTATGTGGTTTTCAGTTTATTCTGTTTTTTTTTTTTTTTTTTTTTTTTTTTTATAATTTAAAAATTAGTCTTTTTTTAATATTTATTTGTATTACTTGGTGATAAATGAAGAATTATACTGAAATTTAAATTTAGAACTAGGGATGGTTACTGTGGGTGTATGAAATTCAGAACAAGAAAATGATGTGGGTTTTAGGGGTAAATTTCTCTGTACACTTTGATCTCACTTTACAACAACAACAGCAGCAACAAGAACACAGTTGAATTCCACTAAGCGGGGTCTGGGGAGGCTAGTGTGTACGCACACCTTACCCCGCTTGATAGAGAGTGTGGAGGTCGAGAATTAGGATAGAAGGTTAGTAGATAGTCGAGCTTGTCTTTTAGAAATACTACTGGCACTTTGATCTCACTTTCTGACTATTAAAGTGAACTGGGTATGTTTGGTAAAACTTAAAATGTTTTTTAATGGAGAATATTTTTTTGTAAAAATTTGTTTTTTTGGCTGTTCTTTTTTCACCAGTGTTTTGTTGGATATGAAAGTAGGTGATATTAAGTAATTGTACAAGGTGGTGGATAGGTATGCATATAGTATTTTGGTAAAATTTTCGGGTTATAAAGGTTGAAAAAATGTTGAAATATTGATGAAACAAGTAATATGGAGTAAGAGTTAGGATATTTGTGAAGAAAAATGACTTCTATCCATAGGTGACAGAAGTCATTTTTCCCATTTTGGTAAAAGATTATCTCTTTTCGAGAGGATTTTCTATAATTTGAGGTCAGGACATATTGGAAATTATATCATCAAAGAAAATATTTTCCAGGAAAATACTTTTTGCAATACCGAACAATACCGCTAGGTGATTAGGCTAGTGAGCCCATAGCTTTAAAGCTTAAGTTCATTTTATTGTTTTTCTTTTCACGCTTAAGGTTAAGTACTTTATCAAGATAAGTCAGTATGTGAGTGAACCTGCCCTATGGATCCCCTTTCTTCAATGAGGGAGGGGTCATACCTTCCCCGTCCGCTTAGTTTCATAAGTCTAAATGATTTGGGGCACAAAATCTGCCGTAGATGTGAAATTTGCTAATTTTTATTCTCAGCTCTCTCATCACATGAATGAGACATAACTTCTTATCGTAAGAATAGTAAACTAAAATCAGATTTTGATTGGTTTGAGGATTTCGACCTTGAACCAGAAGAGGTTGTGTTTTCTTTGGTTTGGACAGGCAGGAAAGAGAGATCGGGATGATGTGTTGGTATGGCCCAAAATGTTTTACAAAAGTAAAATGCTTCTAAGATCAACTCTTTTGTTGGTTATAACTGTCCAACTAAAGGTTAATTTTTGATATATTGGTAGGAATTGAGGGAATGGAGAAGGATAGAATGATTTCAGCAATCGAGCTGGTGGCTATAGTCTTAGAATAATTCTATTGAAACATTATTCTGGTACTATCATCAGGCTTTAGGATATCGCAACAGAATCGCATGAACTTCCGTTCCCAAACTGTTAAAAAACAAATATCATCTTTTGTTGATTCCAAAAGGAATTCATAATGTCTGAAACGTTGGGAGGGGTTTGAGAGGGGAGAAGGCAGAGTCTTAAATAGAATTTGTGATTCAAGAATATTTGCAAGATTTTGTTCATGTTGGACTCAGTAGTCCTTGTAAAACTCTGGAATATGTGGGGATTTTGTGCGTCTCCAACTTACAGCAGGAAATAATATTCTCACCACAATTTCAGACACTAAGATGCAAAATTACGGAGAATCACTCAAAACTGATAAGCAATATTTTGGTTGTTAAAAGAAGTCTGAAAAGTTCTTAGTAGATGTGATATTTCAATATAAAAACAAGTCAAAACAAGTAAACAACTACTTAATGTGCATGTTCAGTGAAACAATCATTTTAAATATAAATAGCATTTAGTATAATTGCGGAATGTCAAAACCTAAATCCTAAAGCGAGGCGCATGCTTGCAGTGATTTTTCTCTTTGTCTTGAAATTCGAATTATTTTCTGTAAGAAAGGAAAATATGTCCATGGAAAATAATGTATCCTTATGATCCTATCCACACTATCACTTATCAGTTGTACCACTTCTGCGTTTGTTAAATGTTTGGCACATATGAGAAACGGAAACACTACTGTATTAAGGTTTCCTAATTGAAGCAATTGACTGCCCTGTAGCTGCGTAGCTGCCCTTCCAGGGGTAGGGGTAAGGTTGCGTACATCTTACCCTCCCCAGACCCTACTTGTGGAAAACTACTGGGTTTGCTGTTGTTGTTGTTGACTGCCCTGTAGCTCAACACATAAAGCAGCATAACTTATAGTAATTATTTATCTATTTGCTTTTTTTATTTGGCTGTCTATCTTTCTCTTGATCTATTAGGACCAGCGCTACATGTCTCAAACTCTCAATCCTATTTTCATGTTTAATATTTTTAGGTGGAAGTTATGATACATATGCATCACTACTCATATTCAACTCTGACTATTCATTGCCAATAGCACTATCAGAATATTGCAGAATAATGTTGACAGATACTTCATATTACTAACATAATATCATTGTAATATCCATAGATTTCATATTATCTACCAATAGGTCTGAATAGTCTTATCCTTCTTAGCTGAGCCCTTCATTAACTGGCTCTATTCAGGTAGATAGACACAATTTAGAGGTGAGACGAGATTCTTCATTTGGCAATTTTTCTGAAAGAGATAATTATGTGTGAACCGGAGTCTGAAGCAACTCGTGGGGTTCTTAGTTTTCTCGATGTGGACCAACTTTTCAGTTCCAACTATTACGGCGATGGTAGAAAGCATGACGTTGAGATATGTCATGAACAATATGCCAGAGAAAACCAGTATCACACATCATATTGCAATGTTGACAGTGATGAGGCTATTGCTCATCTTTTACAAGAAGAATTGTCAGAGTTGTCCATCGCAGAAGATGCTGAATCTTCACATGCAGATGAGCAGTATTTTCAAGCCTCCACTGGTGTACAACATTGGCATACTCCTCCAAGGGAGTACTATGCCGGTACATTTCTTGTTTTCAGTTTTGTGATTTTTCCTCGAGTTTAAACATTTGCTAATTTATATATGATTCACAGGGCATGACACTGGTCTAGAAGCTGATGATGTGGGGCCTTCAAGTTCTTGTTCTAGTCCTGGCGACAGATCATACGATGGAGAAGAGTATACCTACACATTGGAAATACAAGATGAATTTGAGCTTGATGGAGAAGTAGGGAAGAGAATAAACCAGCTGAGTGCTGTTCCTGTAAGTGTAGTGTCTGTTAGTATATCAAGAACACTAATTCACTTTGTGTACGAGGACATGTGCGGCGCTCTGCAACTTTGGCCATTTTCTTGTCACTGCTTTAGTTTCTTATAACAATTTGTGTTATTAACCGTGCAGCATGTTCCTAGAATAAATGGAGACATACCTTCAGTCGATGAAGCAACTTCTGATCATCAAAGGCTGCTAGATAGGTATCTCCTGATCCCTCCGACTTAGGTTTTCAAGTTGACAGAAATTTTGTGTATGAACAAGTTAATGACATATGATCTTATGGTAGTGCTTTGCTTAATTCTCTCTCAGATTAGCACTTTCCAAGGTAATGAAATATAAGTTCACTGCGAGAAATGCATACCTCTATTGTGATTAGGTGTCCTGTGTCTCCAGAATCATTTCTGTATTTTTTTTAGGTTTTCTCTTTCTTTATTAATTCATTCTTTTCCCGGTGGTTCTTACTGCCTGCTATTTGAAAAGTAACATCAAACCCCTCATGCATTTTGAGAAAAGAGAATCAAATGGGAGAGATGGGACCCGGGACAAGCACAGAAAATAATTGTTGTGGAATGAGCCAACTAGTATGTTGTGCTTTCTAAATAAACACTTACGAAGCACATTCCAGTAGATACTGTTAACCCTTTGTTTGCTTAAAGTCACAGGACAATGCATGCGGTTTTTCATTTTGTTCTGTTTTTTTATTAGGTTTTGTGCCACCTAAGTTTCCTAGGAAGTTGATATTGTTGTGTTTTTTCATTAGGTTTTGTGCCACCTAGTTTCCTATGAAGTTGATATTTTTGCTAATTCATTTGAATGGTAATACTATTGCTATAATAACTTATTTTCTGCTAAGCATCCCATGCTGTGATTTTTCTTGCTTCAGATTGCAATTATTTGACTTGGTGGAGCACAAAGTGCAAGGAGATGGCAACTGTCAGGTTATCATATTACCTGGTTGATTTATCTTGCAGTAATGATATCAAACTGTCTAGATGCGCTCATGATTTGATTTCTAGTGGAAGAAAAAAACTGTATTCCCTTTCCTTAAACTACTTACAGCATAAGTATTAATCTTAAACATAATGTTTATCAGTATTCCTTCCTTTTGGAATTGTTCTGGTAGAAACTTGTTCTTGGTGTTTGTGACAATGTCTTAGCTTTCTTTATTACTTTTTAGTTATGCTTGAAAACAGTGGAAACAGTAAAGTTATCTCCATATAAAGTTGTCTCTGTGTGACATATAGGTCATGAGTTTGAGCCGTGGAAGCAGCCATTAATGCTTGCATTAGGTTAGGCTATCTATATCACACCCCTTGGGTGAGGCTCTTCTCGGGACCCTGCGTGAATGTGGTCGGGACCCTGCGTGAATGTGGGATGCTTTGTGCACTGGGCTGCCATTTTAGTTATGCTTGAAATTCTCAACTTTTTAATTTTCATATTTGGTTTTTACTTGTCTATTCTTTCCATTAGCCTTAAGCAGTTGCTCACTGTTCATCATATTTCATTTAAGTTTGTGAAGTGTGTGAGACCATATACAATATTGCTGAATTATGATATACATTGGGGATTGGCAATTTCATTTAAATTGAATTCTTTAGTGATTAGTTCAATAAAGTCACAAAAAGAAAATCGGACTTGAATTATTGATTTGGGAGTTATTTAATTATGAAATGAATACTAGTAAGAAGCGAGTCAAGAAATTTGAGACTGAATGTGAAAATTGGATGGAAGATGTTCACGGAGAAAAGCTGATTAATAGTAATGTTGGTAAAATAGGAAGGGATTAGAACTCGGATAATGAATGTAGAGCGAACTACAAAATATAAGAAGTTGAGAGTTCGGATGGAGTTGGGGGGATGGGTGGTGAATGGAAGTGGTTCATAATAGGATTTTGGAGAAAAACTGGAATATGAAAACTCAAGTGATATATCGGCAGGTTGCTTGCCATGCCAAGTGCCAACTTTATGAAAATTATTTGTGGATTTTCAGTTAGTTTGACAAAAGGACAATTCAAATTTTTTCTTAACTCTTTAGTATTATGGGGGTATGGGAACTTAGCCCGTTTTTCCTTTCTGTGAATTAGGTTTCACCTCCGATTCTAAGTTTGTTGAGATAAGGTTCCATCCTATCTCTTTCTAATGCACATCTATTCACCTGTCTTCTTTTGTTCCAGTTCCGTGCTTTATCAGATCAATTCTATCGTACACCGGAGCACCACAAATTTGTCAGACAGCAAGTAGTCAGTCAGGTGCTTGTCTAAGTGAATAAGATTATCTTCTCTATGATATTTCGGTTTTCATTTTTGAATTATTTCACATACATTTTAGCTGAGTAGGTTTTTTAAAATCATTTTGTTTTGTCAGCTTAAACATCATCCAGAGATGTATGAGGGATATGTCCCAATGGAATATGGAGAGTACTTGAAGAGGATGTCCAAGTAATTCTCAGACCTTTGTTTTTCCATTTTGAAATCGTGCATTACCTTCTCTCCTTTAATTTACATCTGACTTTTATATTGGTTGAACCAGGAGTGGGGAATGGGGCGATCATGTTACGTTGCAGGCTGCTGCTGACTCGGTACTGATTATTGCCCTTACTTTGGTTCCTTGGTTTTTCTCTCCATTTGATTACTGCCTTTTGGTTTGTTTCTTAACCTTGGAAATAAGAACCGTAAGCTATTGTTGGCCAAACCATAACTTGGATGTCCTCATATGGTGCCTTCTTTGGATATTGTAGTAGCTTGTTAATTGCAAGTTGATGGTATGTAGGAAGTAACATGCTTCTATAGAATTTGTGATCCTGTAGTTTTTCATGAGTATGTGTTAATCCTTTATTTTGTAGTGTGGAAGAAAATGTGTGTTTATGTGCCTCTCTTGCTATTTTTTTCTTTCAGTCTCCATTGTGTGGTCGTGTTGCATTTTTTATTGTATATGCTTAGCTCCTTTACGAAGATTTTGCTTGTGATAATATTAGATGAGGATGGATTGGTTTGTGAATGACCTATTTGTGCTGCACATTGAATTGTCTTTTTGTCTTGTGAGCAGTATGGTGTGAAAATTCTCGTTATAACGTCATTCAAGGATACATGTTACATCGAGATTCTTCCGAAGAATCAAAAGTCAAACAGAGGTAACTAGTTCTCAAATTTTGAATTGCTTTTACCTTTCTGTAATATCCTCTACTTCATAGAATGTGATTGAACAAGTTTTCATTAACAAAATATTTGGAAGTGGTAGTGGCATGAATTCTCAATTTCCATGTATCTCATATACAAATACATGTGTCACCGAATTGTGTACGTACTTCCAGTTCGCAGTTAAGGATTTTCCCCAACTTTAATTCCACTATGTGAGCAACCCTTACAAAGTTCTTCAAACATTCTTTATTGGTTATTTCTGAAATGTGGTTTTAGACTTATAGATAATACCAGAATATTATCCAGGGCCAAATTTCAACAATTCAAACAAGGAAAGATAGTATGATCATTCTTAACACCACTGTAGTTACCCCCCATTGAATTTTCCGATAACGAGGGCTACACATGGAGATGAAGGAGATGATCTGATTATGCATATTGTAGTAATAGTAGTAGATAAATTTATAAAAGTAGCTAATACTAGATAACCCGATTTATTATCTGAGTTTGATTCTTGAAACTTGTTCGAGTTATGGAGAAACTAGTATGGCCTTTGTATAGGACCTTTCCGAAAGTCCCAGATCCGATAACGATCTGATAAAGTAGGACCACTGGAGTTATGAGACAACATTAGTCTATAATATAAATGATCAGAATATTGCAACAGAAAACATCAGTTGTCTCTTTCCTCTCTTCGATAGAGGCAAAGGAGATTGAATCTAATTGATTCCGAAATGCTTCATTGGATATTCAATAGTTAAATCGAACTATTCATCTTGCAACTCTGAAAACAGACGTGCTATACATGCAGTATAAGAGCAACATAATTAACATACACTAGGTTGGAGGTTTACTTATCTATGTTTAGGTGGTCGGTTTATGTGCAAGTTTTCCATTTTTCAACAATTTAGAGTTATCAGAGCTACTTATAAGACATGATACTTTTGCTGTATTTAACTTTTTTTGTAAAGTTCAGCAAGAGTTTTTGCTAGTCCGAGTGGAAATAATTATTTGTTGACTACCCATTTTCCCTTTTTACTTGAGAAAAAGATTGAGAGGGGGGAGGCAGAGCAGCATCATGAGTCATCTGGAGAATGCAAAGAGTACTTTTGATCTTTGGACTGAAGAGTTAGAACGTTGGCCTTCCTTGATAACAAAATTTTCAAGGGGAGGGGGGATTAATGGATGACTATGAACCGTTATGGACAATCTTAAGCAAATCCGATCTTGGGTTTCATGAAAAGGAGATTCCCAAGGGTTGACCAGTTTTGGTTGTTTTGAAATCTAAAAGATGGACTGATGAGCATCCTTATTGCCTTTTTAGAGACCTAAAGTTGTCTACTTTAACATATTGAATGATTATGAGACAGTTCTAAGTTTAATGAATGGGGACAGCTTTATATCGGTCATGTATGCATGACATTTATTCCATGCCATTATATGATACCTCTACTGTGAAGCCAAGGGTGGGCACAACTTAGCAATGGATACTTAAATCTGGAGATTGCTTGGAACATCTTTGTGCATATGCACTTTGTAAGAGCGATGTTTGAAGTCTTGATATTGATTCGCTTACACCAATTTAATTGTTTTGTTTCTCTCGTTTTTCTCTTGGTGCAGTCATATACTTAAGTTTCTGGGCAGAGGTGCACTACAACTCAATCTATCCTCAAGGAGGTAGTTGCTTGTACATTTATCTCCTGTTCCTGTTTATTTTGTCTTAGCATTGAGAGTTGAGTGGGAGTTTGCTGATCTTGCTTAGTTTAGAATTCCATTCTATTATCATATTATTCTAATACTGTAGTTTGATGCTCCATTCTAGACTTCCTGCCATTTGATCTTAAGAAGAAGAAGAAGAAGTGGAGTTTCTGGAACAAGCATTAAGAGTTCTGGACCTATTCAAAGGCAAACACTTAAATACAACGTCATCATTCTGGCTTTGATACACAGCTTCTGGTGCAAGACTTACATTTCATTCTTTTCTTCTTTGATAAACAATACTTACTTTTCATTCATATAATAATTGTTCACATAATTATTACAGTATAGCATAGTCAATAGTTTTATCAGTTGCATAATAAGATCATATTGTTGTATAGACATCTTGTTTTTCTTAAAACATTGTGCTCCACATGCACATCTCTCCAATTAGTACAATGGTCTACACAAAATCTCATATACTTTGTTATACTGGGTTTTATACTTTGTTGAGCTTGGAAAGGGAGCCGTGACATAACTGGTATAGTTGTTGCCATGTGATCAGGAAGTCACGGGTTCGAGCCGTAGAAAACGTCTCTGGTAGAAGTGCAGGATAAGAATGTGTATGATAGACCCTTGTGGTCTAGCCCTTCCCTAGACCTGCGCATAGCGGGAACTTAGTGCATCGAGCTAACCTTTTTTTATAGTTCGTTGAGCTGTCCTGCTATGAACACTAGTGAAAATTTCTTACCAAAATAAGATATGCAGCAAAATCCAATTGGGGTGGTAAATAATTTAGTCATGAGTGTAAAAACAAAGATAAAGGAATATATAAGCTAGTTTCAACTCTTCCAAGCTTATGGGAATGGATACTACAACAATAATTATGTCTCAATTGCAAACAAAAATGGAAATGAGAATGGATACAAGTTACTGTTATTATTAGGGTAGTAATTATACTAAAATTTAATTATTTAAAAAATAATAGAAACTGTTTTACCTAATGTGAAAGATAGGAAGTATTCAAAACCAGCTACATAATGTAACATCTTCCTTAGCCATAGCCACTACTAATTTACAAAAATCAAAAAGTTACTAACGGAATATATATCAGAAATTAACATCCTTTACCCTTGAATTAACCTTTTTTTACCAAAATCCCCAAAAATGTTGACCCTCCTTTGATCAATTTTACCAAAAACCCAAAAAATTGACCCTCCTTTGATCCTTACCACTCTTTTGGATATAGCAAAAAAGGAACTTAACTCTAGAAACTAACACATTGACCCCCCTTCCCCAAAAAAAAGTTGCCATGATTCCGTATCTACTTGTTATCATCCTCACCGGCGACTTTTTTCTCGCAGTCATCGGCAGTCACCGGCTGCAAAAGCAATGCCGTGAACGGCATGTGTCGATACTCATTGCCGGAAAATTCCAAAGCCGGTTGGTACAAGTCGAGCCGGCAACTCGGCGGCGGCGAGGTCATCGAGAAGATTCCGCCGCTCACCGGAAAACCAGAAACAGGCTGAGAACGGTTTACCGGAGCCAAAACAGACGGCGGTGACCGGGACAAGGGTACGCTCACCGCCGTCGTGATGACATGCCCCGACGGAACCGTGCCGGTACCGGTGGCAGCGATAATTGCCGGCTCCGCGTGGCGGAGCAGCCACTCGATGGTCTCGCCGTCTGTCCGATGACCTAGTTCCTTCGTCAGCTGAAAAACGCGCGCCGCGCATAACGCTGGCATCCTCACGCGCCGCCCTCTGCCGTTGACCTTCGTGTGCCTGTCTCTGTTTGAAGAAGTAGTAATCCTAGTAGATAAAGAATGCTTCTTTTTAGGACCCACCACAAGGGCATTTTTGTCATTAGACACTGAGTTAGTGCCACCACTTCCAGCGACGGCAACAGCGCCGGTGGATGGGGTGAAGTTGTGGTGGAGGACAAATTCTGAACCCATTATTAGGGTTTTTTTTGAATGAGGGAAAATGGAGGGAGTAGTACTTTGAGCTTTACGGATGATTTTTGATGACCCCACAACAAAAAAAGGTAAGAGTTTGGGGAGTTTTTTATAGGGGATAAAGAGGGGGGAAAAGCATTAAATGTGAAGTGAGATTGTTTTGGGTAGGTTTGTGGATTACTGACAATCTGTATCTTCTTGGTAACTGTGTCCGCTTTGGGCCTGTTAGAAGATTTCTAAGTCCACAACAGGAAAAAATCTTGAGAAATACTCCCTCCGCTTCAAAATAAATGATTTTTTTGGATGTTTTCACACAAATTAAGAAATTCATCTTTTAACATTTATGGTACGGTAAAATTTATAAGGTAAAAAGATAAGAATTTTTTGCGGTAAAAATATTTTTGTGATTAAAATCTTATGTTGTAAAATCCTACTCGGTACTCTCTTTCTTATTCTATAGATCTGTATATATATATTGTAGAAAAAATTTGCAAATATATACTGTATTTACCATTCGTAACTATACTTTCAAAAAATTACCATTCGACAAGCTATATTGGAATTTTATAACAAATCCACCTATAGTACTGAAACAAGAGATCAATTGTTTAGAACTGAAACAAGAGAGCAATGAGTGAGTTCGACTCTCAACCAGAGCATTTTATTTTTCTGTGTACTTAGGCATCTTGTATTTTGATACATACTGTATCATATACAGACACAAGCTATATTTATTGTGCGTCTGAATACAAGTGATACAAGTTGGTAACGATTGAACAGTAACTACGAATGGTAATTAGGCAAATTAAAGTCATGTATGGTAATTGGGCTATTAACTGTAGTACTTTATGAAAATTACTCTTTCAACGAATATAGTTGACACAAGCTATATTCGTTGCATATCTGAACACCAAGTGATAGAAGCTGGTAACAATTAAACAATAGCTATGAATAACAATTAGGCAAACTATAGTTACACATGATAATTAGGCTCTAAATTGTAGTACTTTGTGAAAATTTCTCCTTTTTGTATATATGTGAATTATATACATGTAATTTATATTTTTGATATACTTTTTAGCTAACAAATGCAATTAGTTCCCGACAAATTTTGTATTTTACCCTAAAATCTTGTTATGCTCTTGTGGGTCCCAAGAAACTTTTTTCTCGTCCCATTCAAACTAAGACACATAAATTAAAACGCATCGAGTAGTACAATATTTTAAATTTATGGTCTAAAATGAAGCCATAAATTATCATATTACGAGTTAAATGGAATTATTTAATATAAAAAAAAATATGTAATTCATTTTGAATCACATCAAAAAGGAAAATATGTCATAAGATAGGATAAAGGGAGTATTGTTACAAATTGTAAATTATAGTTAAAGTAAGAGTTGTTTTCTTTGATAGCAGTAGTTCTCTCTTTTAAGAAAGGACAGAGGAAAAATAGATTAGCAGTATTTTCTTAGTGGAAGTGGATTAACTAAATCCATGGTTGGATTAAGAGAACTTGGACAATTATTTTTGGAATAAATGTTAGTTTTTGCTAATCTTTTATGAACTTGACTTGAGAAAAGCTATTTCCCCATATCAGAATAAAATGAATGAACAATTTTCAAATTTTCAAATAAGTAATTCCATGGAGGCCAGACTAATTTGGCGTTTGGATTTGATTTTGATTGAATTTGAAAAATTATTTAAGAAGTTTTTGGAAGGTAGTTTAAGAGAGAATATGTATTTGGATTACTCTTTTGTAAAGAAACATATCTTAAGAATATTATGTAGTTCTTTTTTGAGATAATTTAGTAGGGATTGTATTTTGTTTAAATTATTTTGTATTGATTTTTGGGAAATCAAGTTTTTTCTAAACGAAAGATGATTGTTTTTCTTTTCTTTTCTTTTTCCTTTTGAAAATAGTTGAAAAAAACTTCATAGTCGAGGGGTTGTTTCGTTTAGTTTTTAGAATTACCTACACAAACGGTAAGATTGTTCAATTACAGATTCTTTTCTTAGTAAACTGGAGGTTAATAGCATTAAAGCAAATTAAGCAGTCATTAAATTTTAGTAAACCTTTTTTTTTTTGGTTTTCATCACAAAAAATTTCAACTAATACAATCTGGTCAAAGGTCCAATTTTTCAAAAAACGTCTCATCCAACTAATAGCTTATTCAGAACATGGCCTTTTCTTAAACACGAATCTAGAATTAAAATTTGATGAGTTTTATTTAAGTTTTTATCTCAATATTAAATTTATTATAATTTTAAAATTTGGGTTCATAATATAAATTATTGTTTTCTAATTTATTATTTTTCATATACATATAACATGTTTTTATGTTGAAAATATCAAACCAACAGCCGTTCGGTTCTGAATTACCCAGTTAAGTCTGCTTCTAAAAAATTATATTCAAACGAGAATATTCTAGAATTTGATCACCGCTATAATATTATCCGTGTATTGTTAAAACTTATTGAAATTACACTATATTTGGATCATTGTTTCCCATTGTTTTATAATGTATTGTATTGTATTGTATCGTATCGTTTTATGAATATAATGTTTGGATATATTGTATTATCTGTTATTGTTAAATAATATTTTGCTATTTAGTTTGACTGTATTGTACTGTATTGTAACTGATAAGTTTACTAAAATACCCTCATTTGTTTAAATATTAAATTTATAAAAAATAATGCATAAAAATAATTTTAAAAAATAAAACAGAGGAAGGCAAAACACCTTAAGAAAGTAAACAAAGGAGTGAGATAAAAGAAGGCAAAACAAAGGAACACAACTAATTAAAATTGAGTTAAAAGCAAATTAGGAGAAAAATAAAACAGAAGACGGCAAAATACATTTAACGTTGACGATAGAAGTTCTGAAAAAAACAAAGTACGTCATAGGTTGGAGACTTGGAGTTAAAATAGCAAAAAAAGCTAAAGGGTAAAATATAATTGTAGAGTAATAAGTTAGAATATAATTGGAAAGAAAAATAGGAAATAATGTCACCATAACAAATCGGTTGTTTCAACAAAGGAGACTTTTTATTTTTCTGGAACAATGAATTTAATAATACAATACAATCAATTTTAATGAAACAATCAAAACAAACATTATTTTGGGATAACAATGCAATACTATACAACGGGACCAATCATCCAAACAAGTTGTTAATAGGGTAAAGTTAAATTCGAAGTTGGAAATTTGAGACGGATTCGATCGAACTTGAAGCTGAAGAACGAAGAAGGAGCTGCAGCCAATTTCAAACATTTGTATGAAAACTTCAAACAAAAATTCCACTCATTTGGGTGAAATTTCAAGGAAAAAATGAAACTACACACAAATTTAGCTCCCTTATATATTAAGAATTATTACACAAATAGCCGGATCGATTCAATATTTACTTTTTTAGGCGGTATATATAAATAATACATTGATTATACACAGTTATACATATATATTCGCTGACTACTTTTAATTTAAGAAATTAGGTGTACGGCTATTTGGATATATTGGTGAAGTTGATTTTGAAAGGGCTAGACTTACAATTTAATAAATATCCTTTCTAAAATGCCAATGGTATTGTCCAAATAAATGAAAGATACAGGGGTACTATAGTCAATACAGTATAAAAAACCTCATCCGATGGGGTTTATCAATTCTGAGGCAAAGAACAAAAGAAGAGCCATCATATATACAAAACTTCAAACTTTTACAAAGCCATCACTTCAAGAAAACACACTCACGCACTAAAACCCCCTCTTAATTCTGAATAAAGATTGCCTTTTTGCAACCCCATATGCCAAGAAAATAGTTGTACAATATAAAGTGAAGAAATTCACAAAGAAAAAAAAATAGCAAAAATGGAGGCAGCTGGAAGAAACTTGCTTTCTTCACCACCAACAACTTTTTCTCATAAAACCCAACTCAGCAGAAGTTCCCCTTCTTCCATTTCCTCTTCAGGTAATTCTTAAATGTGTTGAATTTCAACTGTTTTTGCCTTTTGTGGTACTTGCAATGTTCCATTTGTCCATGTTTGTAACTTTAGTTTTAGAAAGATAATGACTTTAGGTGAAGGGGAGCTTTGGCGTAACTGGTAAAGTTGCCTCCATTTGACCAGGAGGTTGGGTTTAAGCTGTGTAAACAACCTTCCTCGGACCCTGCGCATAGCGGCAGCTTAGTGCACCAGGCTGCCCTCTTTTTTAATGGCTTTTAGTGAAAATGTAGCCTAAATTTGTTAATTCTGGATTAGTTATTCAATGTGTTTCCTAGTTACTTCTTTGCCATGATATTGATGCTAGATTGTTTCTTGGTTAATTGATAGAAATGACCATTAATTCTATGGTAAGTGTGCCATGTTGGTTGAGGGAATGGACTGTTGTCTCCTTATATTATCTTGGGCAATCCTCGTCTCCAATGGCGGAGCTAGATCTTAGGATGCGGGTTCGACCGAAACCAGTAGCTTTGTCCCAAACTGTATAATTGTTTTAAAAAATCCATTGGATATATATAAATTATTAATTTAGAACCCAATAACTTAAAGGGATTAGAATCCCAAACCCATAAGTTTCAATTTATGGCTCCGCCTCTGTGTCGTCTCATGAGCTAGCTTTTGGAATTGTGTTAGGTCCGATGTATATATGCATTTTTTTTTACATTCTTTTCTTAGTTACCATTGAAAGTAAAAGATGGAGTTAAGAATGAGTTTAGCTATGTGAGTTATGTGAACTGAAACAATCTCAAATATATCTTCTGCTTCATTTTCTATCCAATTCAGGTTTTCTGATTTTGGACTTTCTCATATTTTTGTGATATTTTCATGTTTAGGGATTTTTCCAGATTTCAATTATCTAATGTTGGGTTTTTAATGTTTTCTTGGAGGATAGAATTTAATTAAATTTATGATGGTTTTCAAAAATTGAGCTTCTAAAACTGAGCTTGTGAGGTCAGTTTGATGAAGGAATTCGAGTTACAAATATCATTATTGTAACCAGATAGTAGGTAGTGAATTTTGTCACATTTCTGAATATATCCTGTAAGGATGCACAGACGTTTTTTAATTTTCTACAAGGCTTCATTCATAATCGGGGTTTTTCTATTGTTGTGCTGATAACAAAATATTTCTTTTCTCCCACTATATTTCCGTTCTCTCCCTATTTTCTCAGAACGACAAAGAACTCTCATACGGGCTCCACCTCATATTTGGTCAAAGTCAAACATTCTTTTTCGTTATCGCCATAATGTGTCAGACTTTTCTAGTTTTTATCACAACATGGTGATTGTCACCACTCACCAGCAGGAGAGACCACAGATTGAAGGTCAATATTAAGATGGTTTATAATAGACATAAGAATTTAAGTACATAGTATTTAACTAAAGTTGTTTTTCCTTGACATAAGAATTTAAGCACATAGTATTTAACTAAAGTTGTTCCTTAGTATTGAAAATCCGTAGATACCATAAAAATGATTCTCCTTATGAAAGATTTCTTTGATTGTGTGTAATCACTTCTTCTCGATACAGAAAAAGAAAGAGTTTCTAGTTTCAATGACTTACTGGCGTTGTCCTTTACTGCCAGATATCTGTAAAATAGAGGATAGAATCCCAATGCATAGTATTGAACTGTCTGTTAAGAGGACTAACTATCTGAGGCATACCAGAAATATGCCAAATTTGGCTAGGACAAATGATTGTTAGAAGGGTTATCCGAAGAAATTAGGTGAACTTTAGTACTATTGCATTGCTTCCTTAGAGGTGTTTTTTTAATTTTTATGCGGTAGGCCGTAGCAGCCTGTGACATTTGTACTCTGCTTTTGTAGCTGCAGCTTTCAACCGTTTCATGACTTGTGAATAATCCTATTTCTTAAGGACATTAGTTTAATATTACATGATAAAACTTGCAGTTCTGATGCTTTATGAGCATGTTGCTCCTGCGCTTACTTCAGTGCCACATGCTTATTTGGTTCGACATGTTCCTGCATCAGTTATCAATCCGGAGCAGCAGTTTGAGAATCGGCTGCAATTACACTCGGTAAAGGAAGAGAAAACATCCCTGGTGAGTTTCTCGGAGTTCATGACTTTACATTGAGAAACATTTGTCGTCGTTTCATTGTATTACAGTTCTTAAATATGTGGAAACTTTATGGTATGCATACAACTACCTTTCTAAGCAATATTCTTGTGATCGTTAATTTAATGTGGCCCTGATTTTTCTTGCTGAAGGCAACTATAGATAGGCGGCTTGTGGAAGCTGCATCCTCAGCAATGGAAGAGAATGACGCTGTTGATTCGGAGCAAAATATAAATGCTTTGCAAGTGCAGCTACTTCGTTCGCCTGGTCTATCATATTTGTAAGATGAAGTGAATACATGTGTTGAATCATTATTGTGCACGTAGCATTCTTTATAGTGCAGTCATTCACTAATTTACTTTGTGGTTTTGCTGGTAGATTTTCCTCGTACCATCTGAAGGAAAAAGTACCACTAACTCTGGATACGGAATCTCTTTCCGACAAGGGAGAGAAATTAATGAACTTCGAACCACACAACGTGGTTGCTCTTGCTAGAAAGGCTTTGTTGGCATCAAGAGAGGCAGCATTATTAGCTGAGGACTCCAAATTACTTGGGACTAACTTTGATGACTCTATTTTTCCAAAGTCAGTTTCGTTAGCTCCCTAGAAAATATCCGTGTTAGTTTTCATTTTGATAGTTATCTTCATAATCTATGATCCTGCATTTTGATTTTCAGTTTGCTGTCCACAAATTTGACTGATGATAAACTGAAAGATCAAAGAATAGCGAGGTCAACACGTCTTCTAGAGAGGCGTTCTAAGAAAAGGGGAGCTCCAACATCAAAACATCAAGTTCAGGAGACAAATCGTTCAGAGAGGCCAGATGTGCGGAGAAGAGTGAACGAATCTATTGATCTTAATGATCCTCTTCGAATGTTTCTATGGGGTCCCGAAACTAGACAACTTTTAACAGTCAAAGAGGAGTCCGAATTGATTGTCAAGATACAGGTATTATTGCCTTCTTGTCTCCGTTCCTATAGAAATTGTTTTTCATAAAGCAACAACGAGTCAATTCAATATCTGGTCATGTTTCAGAATACCATGAAATTACAAGAAGTGAAGCATCGGCTTCAAACTCAGTTTGATCGTGAACCGACATTGATCGAGTGGGCTGAAGCTGCAGGACTTACTTCTCGAGAATTGCAGTCACAGCTTCGTTCTGGCAAGAGCAGCCGTGACAAATTAATTAACGCCAATTTGCGAATGGTGGTTCATATTGCTAAGCAATATCAAGGGCGTGGTCTCAGCCTTCAGGATTTATTGCAGGTAAATGGAGATTAAGAACACATAAGACATAAATAATTTGGCCACCATTCTGAGATATGTTTGTATAGCTAAGCAATATCAAGGGTGAGTAACATTGAGAACAGGGAATTTTCTTGTCTTTGGGTTTATCATTTAGTTATTTGTTTTTACTTTGCCTGGTGATGGACTGGGTTGTTGCAGGAGGGAAGCGTGGGACTTATGAAGAGTGTCGAGAAGTTCAAGCCTCAAGCTGGTTGCCGATTTCCCACCTATGCATACTGGTGGATAAGGCAAGGAGTTAGGAAGGCCATATTTCAACATTCTAGGACAATTCGTTTGCCAGTAATGCCCTCTTATAGGATTACTATGTTGAATTTTTGCATATAAACTAAAGTGTGACTTTCCATTTGTTGGTTTAAAATTTTCCCAAAGTTCACTAATGTGAAATTTTTGCAAGAAGCTAAATTCTTTCTATTTGTTTGTGATGACTGTTGATCCATATCTGGATATCTAAGTAACTGACCTGGAATTGCAGGAAAATGTGTATGCCCTACTCTCCAAGGTAAAAGACGCCAAAAAGTTATGCATCCAACAAGGTAATCATCATCCAACCAGAGAAGACATTGCTTCATGTGCTGGAATGAGTGTGGAAAGGTTGCAGAGTCTGCTTTCAGCGGCTAGAACACCTCTTTCAATGCAACAGTCAGTGTGGACAGATCAAGATGCTACTTTCCAGGTGATCTTTCCTTGTGCCAATTCATGCTTTCAAGGAACTCACTAAGTAAATCACAATGTATGAAACAAGAAAACTCCTATATTTTTCTCCAATTCATAGGAAAATCTCTAAAACTTCTTCTGGTGTTCCCTGGTTTACGAGTCAGAAGGATATTACTCTATATTGTTTTGTGGCTCACATGCGCTACTGGTTAGTCCAAGGGGGGCTATAAAAATCTGGTTAAAAATAGAAATTTCCGAGCATTAAATTGAACTGAGAAGCATGTGGTGAAAGAGCTGCATTTTTAGCAGAAGAAATGGTGTTAACTGCTTTTGCGCTACAAGCATGAGCCATCTATAGTTTGGGTAGGCAGTGAAGGTTTGGTTCTCACTACATCTTCTGCTGCTCACTACCTATTGATGATATCTATAGAGGCGGATTTAGAATTTGAACTTTATGAGTTCGAGTTCGGGATTCTACCACAACCCATTTGATTTACGGGGTCAAAATCTATTATTTGTACTTATTTAGTGAATTTTCTAACTTACACACAGGGTCTGGAGCCAAAACTATTAGGTTCAGATATACCCGTAACATTAGCACTACCTCTACCCCTCTTTCTACAAGGAGACGTTCAAAGAAATGCATGGAAGTGCCATTTCGTCTTTATATATGTTTTTCGCCGGAGGAAAAAATTACTAGGAAGTGTTTTCCATGTTTATGACTTTCTTTGCTTTCAGCAACTCTGTTTATGTACTCTTTTCTCTAGCATTTCTTGGGTTTTTCGACTATGTTCTGTTACGAAATGTGATTATGTGTTATCTCTCTCCAGAGAATGGTATGTATGTGTGCAAGATTTAGGTATCCGCCTCTAATAATTGACTTCTATGATGCAGGTGTCTAACTTTAAAATCTCCTATCTTGTTTGACACTTACTGAAGAGAGAATATCGTCTTTTTTAATCCAGGAAATTACAGCTGACAATGCAATTGAAGCACCAGAACTGAGTGTGTCAAAGCAACTTATGAGGCGACACGTACGTAACCTTCTAAATGTTCTGAGTCCAAAGGAGAGGAAGATAATCCGACTTAGATTTGGCATTGGAGATGGTGAACGAAAGTCACTCTCTGAAATAGGTGCTGTTTTTGGACTGTCAAAGGAGCGAGTTCGACAGCTGGAGAGCCGTGCACTATACAGGCTAAAGCAGAATCTTAGCAGCCATGGGCTTGATGCCTATAATGATTTGCTCTTTTAGGTCCGAGTCTCGTCAATTCACACAATGAGATTCAAAGTGGAGCAGTGGCTGATGAGGGCAGATGTAGTTAACAATGCACAGTACATACAAGTAGCTCGCTTTCTTTCTCTATTTGACTTTGCTTTACAGACAGTGGTGATCATGTTGATCTTGTTCCGACCCTCTTTTGATTTTGTAAGTATCAAGTTGTAAATCTTTTCTTTCTTCATCCTGACATTTATCCAAATGTAAAATTTTTCTAAAGTTACATAGACAGCTATATTAACAATGTTCTTTTCTAGCTCTTCTGCTTGGAAATGGTGTTGAGTGCCTGAACAAAAGTCCCGTATTAGAAGTTGACAAGAAATAAAAGTTATATGAAGTGTAGTTATACACTAAATGGTACGAGTCTTTGGGAAAACCATGCGGACTTGAGTTAAGGCGGATCATATCATGGTAAGAGTCGCCTTTGGTATGGCATAGTTCAACAAATGGTATTAGAGCCTATGGTTCAGAGAGCTAGATTTAGCCGAGGACCTATCGGAAAGAGCCTCTCTACCCTTCGCGCGTAGGGTTAAGGCTGCGTACATCTTACCCGCTCCAGACTCCACTTGTGGGTAACCGGGTTTTTTGTTGTTGTTGTTGGTTCGGAGAGCCAGGTGTGGAAAGACACAAAATATTTCTGTATACGGCCGAAATTAGGTATGCCCGATTTCACGGGCTCGAGGGGTCGCTTCAAGCCCGAGTTTAGGATGGGTCGAGTTCGAGCCCGATGGACCAAGCTCGAGCCCGATGACAGAATATAAGGTTCGAAGATCGAAGTACGCAATGAGCGCCGAAGCCGAGTATGATCAACTCCGAGGTGATGCTGTTACGAGTTTGTAACAGAAATAGCAAAATTCCTGCCACGCCCTCAAAGATCATGGCGTAAATTCCGGAATAGATTTGTACGAGTTTGTACTAATCTATACTAGGCGGTTAGACAACTGTCCCAATAAGATTCTTTACTGTAAATAGAAATGTATCTTATTTAAGGTTTCCCCTACCCCAATCATTTGTAACCATCATCAATCATGGGTAAAAGAATATACTCTCTTACTTTCTTGTTCATTGCTCGTCAGAATTGTCCTTTAACTTTATTATGCTTATTTTATTGTTCTTGGCCTACCTCGAGGTCACCTTAGCTCGAGGTCGTGATTAGCCTGCACACTTATTTGATTTTACTTCTTTTATTTATACGTCAGATTTCTTGGTTATTAGTTAGTATTGAACTAATCACATATCTTTAAAACAATAAACAAGTTTAATTGTTACTCGTATTTTTGAGGTAAACAATTTGGCGCCCACCGTAGGGCTAAAGATAATAGTGGTTGTTTCAGCACTGATTCTGATAACACACGTTATTTTCACACTTGTTCTTGTCAAGAATTTTTGTTCTCAGGTTAAAACATGTCAAACTCACAAAACACACCCATACACGGCGATAATGGTCTTGGATTTCATGGAGAAAACAATAATGTAGGGATCGGTGTACCAGCGAATACCTTGGGAAAATGCCAAATGTGGAACCAGTCGATGTTAGTTCACACATTGCTTTGAATGCGGATTTAGGCGCAGACCCCGGAGGAAGTGTACGCAGGGAAGCCCGATCTGGTGGCCAAGGAACACAGGGTATAGGAGATGGGGGAATCAGCCTCCAAGTAATATTCTAGATGTTGCAAGCTCAACAGGTTGCTACCGCTCAACTTCAAAGTCAACACAAAACTCCAAGTAAGTCGAACCAGAAAACAATCGACGTAATGAACCGGTGCCAGAAAGATCAAACAGTAATGGCTCGGGGACTGATCACACAATTATGAGGATGCTCGAGGAACTCACCAAGAGAATCGAGTCCGGGGAGAAAAAGATTGAGGATAATGACAAAAAAGTGGAGACTTATAACTCCCGTGTTGATCAAATACCAAGGGCACCCCCGGTCTTAAAAGGTTTGGATGCCAAGAAATTTATACAAAGCCATTCCCTCCGAGTGCAGATCCGAAGCCCATTCCTAAAAAGTTCCGTATGCCCTATATACCCAAATACAACGGGACAACCGATCCTAATAAACATATTACCTCATACACTTGCGGGATTAAAGGAAATGACTTAAACGATGATGAGATCGAGTCAATATTGTTGAAAACATTTGGAGAAACTTTGTCAAAGGGAGCCATGATTTGGTATCACAACTTGCCACCGAATTCTATCGATTCGTTTGCTATGTTAGCAGACGCCTTTGTGAAAGCACATGCCTGGTCCATAACGGTTGCGACAAGGAAATCGAACATTTTTATGATAAGACAGAGAAATGATGAGATGCTAAGGGAGTTCGTATCCCGATTTCAAATGGAGCGAATGGAATTACCACCGTTCTCGGATGATTGGGCAGTACAAGCTTTTATGCAGGGGTTGAACGAGCGGAGTTCGATCGCGCCACAACAGTTGAAGCAAAATCTGGTCGAGTATCCAGCTGTGACTTGAGCAAATATACATAATCGTTATCAATGGAAGATCAGGGTCGAGGACGGCCAGTTGAGAGCCCCCTCGGGCTCAGTTCATCCAAATAGGTTGGCGGTTAAGGCCCCGAGGGATACAGACAGGGAAGTAAGATCAAATAGGGAACGATATCAGCCATATGTCTCGGATTGAAGAAATAACGGTTCGGGGCGCAATCCTCTTCGGAACGATAGGAGAAACGATCGAGGACAAAATTCTCGGGGACTTATGAGTAAGCATGGTTTTGATAAACATACCAATCCTGCAGAAGCACCTCAGTTGTCGGAGTATAATTTCAGCGTAGATGATTCGGGCATCGTGTCGACTATTGGAAGAATCAAAGACACCAGGTAGCCCAGGCCTATACAAACCGATCCTTCTCAAAGAAATCCAAACTTGATACGTTAATATCATGGCACACATGGCCATAGGACCGAAGACTGCAGGCGGCTAAGGGAGGAGGTAGCTCGATTGTTCAACGAGGGTCACTTCGAGAGTTTCTCGGTGATCGAGCTAAGAACCACTTCAGGGAAAGAGATGCAACAGAAGAAATAAGCAGGAAGAACCGCAACATGTAATTCATATGATCGTTGGCGGTGTCGATGTTCCACAAGGGCCTGTATTCAAACGGACCAAGGTGTCGATCACCAGAGAAAAACGAACTCGGAGTTTTGTGCCCGAAGGTGTCCTATCATTCAATGATGAGGAAGCGGAAGGCATATCTCAGCCGCACAATGACGCCCTGGTAATTCTATTTTGTTAAATAAAATTCAAGTTAAACGTGTTCTAGTGAATCTAGGTAGCTCAGCAAATATAATCAGATCGAGGGTCGTAGAGCAGCTTGGCCTGCATGACCAAATTGTACCTGCATCTCGAGTCCTAAATGGATTCAACATGGCAAGCGAAACAATGAAGTGGGAGATAGTCCTACCAGTGAACGTGGCCAGGACCATCCAAGATACAAAATTCCATGTCATCGAAGGCGACATGAGATATAATGCACTACTCGGGAGGCCGTGGATCCGCAACATGAGGGCAATACCTTCAACCTTTTATCAGATGATGAAATTCCCAATAGTGGATGGTGTGAAGATGGTTTATGGAGAACAACACGCTGCAAAGGAAATGTTTGCAGTCGACGATGTGGCACCGATGCCAGTTCCTTTGACCTCGAAAAAATCGAGCACCAAAGATAAGCAGACGGCCAAATAGCAATCACCGTCCCAGCCTCGATCGAACCGGAGGAACATGTAATCGAAGAAGAAGAAGAGGATTTCCAAAGTGATCGCTGCCAACTCGACGCTACACTAAGGTAGGAAGAGCGGGTCGCAATTGCTTTTACCCGATATGAGGGTCGAGATCGATTTCCTCAGGGAGCTAGTAGTGGAGTTGGATTG